TCTCTCTCTCTCTTGTGGCTGAATGGTACACATGCTGTCTCTTATACACATCTAGATGTGTATAAGAGACAGGAGAGAGAGAGAGAGAGAGAGAGAGAGAGAGTTACCTGGATGGCCAAAGATGACGTTCAGGGTGGTCGGACTCTGCAGCATTCTTAGGCGAGAGCACAGAGGACAAAGAGAAGAAAGAGAGAGAGCAGTAGGCTGTGAATAGTGAATGAGTGGGTATGTAGTATAGGTGGTCACATCATTGGAGAACTACTACATTGGTGTTGTATTGGTGAGAGGAAGCAAGAAGTTGGGCTTTCTCTATCAGGAGACTTCAGTGTCAGTGTGTGTTCATTTGGTATGCCCTTGGCTCTGCAATTCTACTTTTGACTTTGGCCATACATGCGCATTCTGATTCGAGTCTTTTCCTGCTGGAAAAGTTGTGGTCTCATTGATGTTTCTTTGCGAAAAGTTAAGTCGGACCTCATATCTCACTTTCTGTCTGGTTACAAATGTGCGTGACTCTCATGGTTGGTTGGCTGTAACGTTTCAGCGAAGACAATTTGCAGCTTCTTTTTACAGTAGCACGAACGGCAGAGGAAGCTGGTGTGCGATCAAATTGTGTGATTGCCTTGGGTGACTTGGCATTCCGGTTTCCAAATCTTGTGGAGCCCTGGACAGAGCATATGTATGCCTGCCTGTATGATGAGTGCCCAAGTGTTCGGAAGAATGCAGTCCTTGTCTTAACGCACCTAATCCTCAATGATATGATGAAGGTGAGAATGGTGTAATCAGACTGTGATAACCTTTGTTGTCTATACCTTGCTGAAAATGTCAAGCTACTTGCGGTTGCTGGGTATTTCGTGATGTGAAGTCAGTTCAAAGGCAGTCTAACCTGAAGCCACCTCTTGTGCCTCCAACCTGCTATGCGTCATGTCATTTTGAGAGAGAGAGAGAGAGAGAGAGAGAGAGAGAGAGAGAGAGAGAGAGAGAGAGAGAGAGAGAGAGAGAGAGAAAGAGAGAGCAGAGGTGGCAACTGGGTAACCATTGCCCGTACCCGACCGTACCCAACTGTAACCGGCAGGTTATGGGCAAGTACGGGTACCCTTCCGGAGGGGGGCATCGGTATGGGCAGGCATAAATTTTATTTGTGGATTTCAGGGCAGGCATGGTTGCACTGCGTGGAGACCACGGGCAGGCATGGGCGGGTACTGACGGTGAAAAGGGAAAAACCGCAGGTATGGGCGGCCAAGAAAAAAAAAAGCATGGGTACAGCCGTTATAGGGTGGTGAAAAACAAATCAGATGGGTATGGGCGGGTAAACAATCCTGCCGGGTAACCGTACGTAATATCCACCTTCCCCCCACTTCCCCCCTTCCTCCCCTTCCCTTCTTCCCAGGAAATATGCAAACCGGCGGAGCTGTTTTTTTCTTAGGCACAACGTTTTTTCCTAGCGCGAACGGAGAGAAAAATATTTCAGGAAATAGCCTCCCAACTTCAAAATTGGCCACTTTTGAAATTGGAAGGCTCCCGTCTCGCCTAAGGGAGTTCCCCCTTGTAAATTGGCCGCCCGTCATGGTTGTACCTGCCGCCCTTCTGTTTGCCACTGCATGGCCATCGTCTGCCCGTCGTGGTTGTACCCGCTGTCGTTCTGTGTGTTGCATGGCCATGTGTGTGTGTGTGTGTGTGTGAGAGAGAGAGAGAGAGAGAGAGAG